CGCGCAGGGCATCTGGTCTTACATCGGCCAGTGGGTAAATGTTTTCCGCCAGTTTGATCGCGGTACGTGAGCGCGGTTTTTCCCCCCCTTCAACCTGGGTGACCCCTCTGCGTTGCTGTTGCTGTGCGGGCGCGTTTCTCTACGGTCCATCGATCACTCTTCTGACCTCCGGGTGCTTCTCCCCTCTCCCTATCACCGTGTTCCCTCGTGTGTGCGTGTGTGCGTGTGCACCCGTACCACCACAGACCAGTCTGGCTCGATCGACATCCACGAACTTCGCACTGCCTTGCGTCAGTTTGGCTATGCTCTCAGTGATCAGATGGTTAGCATTCTCCTCCGGAAGTACTCAGTACCCGGTGCGTAGCGAGTCAGACCAAGTGCTGGTCCCTTGTGCAGGGGGCGGCCCTCCCCGCGGGTTTCTCTGCCTATGCTGACTGTGCGCCCACTTGCTACCTCCCCCCCCCCCCGACGCCCCGTTGCACGTCAACCCACAGACCAGACCGGCATTGCCTTCGATCACTTTATCGAGCTCTGTGCGACCCTCCAGAGCCTTACCAATGCCTTCCGCCGCTACGACATCAACCAGGTGGGTATTTTGTTGCTCTGCCTTCTGTCCCATTCACCTTTTCCCCCTGTTTGTGCCCCTTGTTCTGACCCTGCTCTCTGTCCTCCTTTCCCCCTCCTTTCCCCCTCCTCCCCCCCTCTCACCACCCTTTCCTTCGAGCAGAATGGCTGGGCCACAATGCAGTATGAGCAGTTTCTCGGGGCAGTTTTCTCCATCCGGTGATGTCGCCACGTAACCGCCGCGCTGGGCGCTGCTTTCCGATGCCCACGCCAGTTTCCTTGTGGGCTCTCCCCCTTTGCCTCTCTTCCCAACTCTCCCTCTCCCCCCATTCAAAAGATATAGCATTACCTAGCTCCCCCCCCACCCCCCACCCCCCAGCGCTATACCTTCTCCCTCTCTGGCCCATCTACCCATGGTTGTGTTGGTGTCCGTCGCCCTCTCTCCCTCTTTCATGATTGTGCACGGGCCCCTTCCCTCCATGTGTCCTGCTGCTGCATGTCCGGGTGGCTGGGCGTTGAGTTCGGGGGATTAGATCGGCTTTTTTTTTCCTGTTCGGGGGAGTGGGCACTGGATGTGGCATTCATATGTAGATTGGATGTATTTGGCCAATACGAATGGCTTAAAGATGTACGGAGACAGGTGCGCGCGCACACACACACACTGGAGGACACACCCATCGGCGGCCACTCGTTTTAAGGGTGAGGCCACCCACGTCAGGCCGAGGCAGTTATTGTGTGCAAAGAAAGTGCACGACAGTGCGATCCTGAACTTCACCTGTGGGTGGAGGGGCGAAACAAAGACAAGCCCTAACCGTTTTGTGTCCCTTGTTGGGCGCACCGAAGCCGGTGGGCGTTCTACTTGAGGGACGAGAGGGGGCATATCGGCGGATTTCAGGCTCATCGCGTGTCCCAGGCGCGATAAAGAGAGCCACGAGAGAAAGGGCCACCAGGTATGCACGCTTCCGGGTCCACATGTGGACGCCATCCCCTGTAGCTACCCCCCCCCCCCCCCCCCCACCCCCCCCCCCCCCCCCCCGGTGGCAATCCTTGTCCCTCCCCGCTTGGAAGTCATCACAAGGTGTATCCTTTACACGCGCAGGTGTCGGAATATAGATGTATATAAAAAGGTGAACCGGGGATGTGCTTTGTAATTTCTTTGTTATTGGAGTGGGATGCATTCTCGAGGAGAAAACACCGTCCACGGGGCTGTTTATCAGAGGGAAGGGGGGAAAAGGGCGGGGAGGCGAGGAGGCAAACGAGAGATTGGTACAATTCTACCTCTGTCGAAATGCAGATCATCGGGCAGAGGGAAAGTGGAGACACGGTGGAGCTTATGAGAGTGCAAATGCAAGCATGCGTGCGTGCGAGAGGGGGAGCATACACATGGGGCCGACATAATGGTACAAGGGTCCATCTTCAACCCACTCCGACACATGGGTGCCATGTGTCGGGAGAGGGAGGGAGGTGGATGGTTGAAGGAATTGGTGTGCCCAGGCAAACGGGTATGCATGCCCACAAGCGGCGCGGGAGGGCGAGGATAGAAGCATACAAATCGGATGAGAGAGAGAGGTCGTGCGGGGATTGCGGCCAAGATGGAGGCCGGCACAGACTCCAGACGCTCTCGGGGGGGAGGAGCGGCGCACAGGGGAACGGCGGGCGAACATGTGAAGAGAGGGCAAAGGCCAGAGGGAGGACGCGCGTGCGTGTGTACTCACAACATGCAAACACACAGACACGTGCGCACACTCGCATTCAGGCGCAACGGCGGCACACATCGGGCAAAGCGGGGGGGGGGGGGACGCAAAGCCCGAGAGACCACACATTTACTGAGACTCGGTGTTCTCGTCGCTGCCGAAGAGGTTCTCCCCGGAGTAGGTGACATAGAGGAAGCCATCCTCATCGCGGTTGTCGTCGTAGATGACCTTCATGGGAGTGTGAGTGGGGGGGAGACCCTTGTTGACATAGACGTAGAGGGTCTGGTCGGGGCCGAGGTTGATGCGCTTGCGGATGACATAGACGAACTGGCCGACAGTCAGGTCGCCGGGAACGAGGAACTTCTTCTTGTCAATCTCGGGGATGGAGGAGTTGTCAGCCTTCTCACAGATGACGGGGACGCGGTCCGGGTGCTTCTCGAGGATCTTCTTGGACTCGGTCTGACGCTTGCCTGGGTGTGGGGGGGGGGTCCGGGGGAGGAGAGCAGGGAAAGGGGAGGGGGTTAGATAAGGGGAGAGAGGGCGCGAGGGGAATGGGGAAGAGGGGGCGAGGGGGATGGGGGGATGGGGAGAGGGAAACGCACTGAGGTCATTGTCAGTCTTGTACTTGGAGGTGCGGGACATGTTGATTGGGAGGAGGGGAGGGGAGAGGCCGGAGGGTGCTCTATGTGGCGGTGGTGGCGGCGGGTCAGTCTTGGCCGACGGCAATGGGGACAAAAGCGTCCTGCGCGAAGGAAGGAGGGAGCGGAGGGGCTGATGAGGCAGAGGAGAGGGAGAGAGGGGGAGAGGGGGAAAGAGACGGAAAGAAAGACCGGGGGAGGGGGAAGAGGCGGAAGAGAGAGAGAGAGAGAAACTTACTCTGAACAGGAGGGGGAGGGAGGGGGGGAGGAATCTCTGGGGCACCTTCGGGCAAGGTGAGCCTCAGGGCAGCACCACATTAATGGTCGAATATGAGCAACGGGGCGGAACAGGGCAAGGGGGGGGGGGGGGGGGGGGGCGCGGAAACGGTGAGGTCGTCCCGAGCAGGGGCGCACGAAACAGCAAAGAAGCACGCCCGCCACGGCCACCCGAACGTTTGTCTCTGTCAGGGACACCGGACAACCCGGAGGGAGGCGCTCCACATCCCCCCCCCCCAGTGCGTGCGGGCGCGCGCGCGCGCGAGCGCCCTGTCCCATCCCCGGCCCCGGGCGCCCCCTGCCAAATGAGATCATCGAGACTCCGAGAGTGAGCCCGAGAACGGGCGAAAGCCGGGGCAGGCCTTGGCCGATAACGCGGACATTCCCTCCATCCTCTCTCCCCGCCGCCGCTCCCCCCCGGGGGGGGGGGTCGGACTCTCGGCGGAGCCCCTGTCCTTCACTGGGGCCAGAAGCCCCTTTTTTCGCGCTCGGTATCCCAGTTACCGTCGGGCAAGAGGGGCGGTGGCCCAGAGCGTCGCTGCCCTCCGCCCGCGAGCCTTCCCAAAGTTCGGCCGGGCAATTCGCGGAGGGGGCGGAGAAAAGTCCTCATGTCAGGGGAAAAATGCCGCTCCCGGGCACGGGAAAATGATCAAACGCCGCCAGCAACAGCATGCAGGGGAGAGAGGGAGGGGACAGGTGCCAGCCCACCCTCGGCGCGCATCCCGGCCCTCCCTCTGAAGGTGAGATTACTGCTGTTGCTCGAGTGGCCCCTTCGCCGCCCTTCCCCCGGGGGTTTGCCGGGGGCGGCTCTGGCAGCTGAAAAAGCAGGCAGACTTGTTGGGGGCAAGCCACGACGGAGAAGACAGAGGACGGGTGACCATCATTGTCATCATCATCATCATCATCAGCCGGGCCCCCTCCTCCATCGAGTAAGCTGCCCTCTCAGGAAGGGCGCATCTTCCAACCAGTGCGATCCCATCAGGGCAGGCGCGAAAAATGCCCCGGCAGGGAAGGAAGGCTTTCCTTACTGCGCCCCGGGTTTTCTGCTGGAGGGAGAGAGAGAGAGAGCGAGAGCGACGCGCGGGGCAAGGGGACACATGTTCCGCCAAGTCCTCCTGCCGGCTCGACCCCCGCGGCCCTCCGCAACATGTCACGCCAGTCGGGAGACCCTTGCGCGGCGGCAGCGGAATGCCCCGCTTCCGGACAAAGGTCCGGAGAAGCGTCCGGAAGGGAGTCCCCCCCGCCCGCCCCCCTCCGCCGGAGACGGAGACCCGAAGTCCAGCAAGGGGGAGGACTAGCCTCTATGGAGGCGCACTGTCAGCCGCTGGGCTGGGCTGGGCTGGGCCGCCGGGGATGGACCTCGGTTGACCCCCCATGCTCGGGTAAGCACCGCGCGGAGAAGCTCCGCCCGTCTGGCTCGAGTCTGGATGTTCGCGCCACAGGTGCCCGGCCCTCGGCAGCCTTCCGGCTGGTCCGGACCTCGGAGACCTGGCAGCCATCGGCTCGACCTCGGGGCAGTCCCTCGCTTGCCGGTTTGGGTTGTTCCCCGATCGACGGGCATGCTGCGCTCGATCGGCCGGGCCCAGTCGACTTTCATGGAGAGCTGCGGGGACCAGGGGCCGGACAGAGCCAGGGAGAGACACATAAGTCCGGGCGGGGGGGGGGGGTGCTCGGCGGGGTGACGGTTAACAAGACTGGACCGTGGGTGGGGGCCGCGACAAGGCAACAAAGTCCAACATCACTCCCAGAACCCGGGCGCCGGGACCAAGCACCCCCGCACGCGCATGAGCTGCTCCCCAGGGGGGGGGGGGGGGGGTGGGGGGGGAGGGAGGGAGAAGAGCGGCGGCTAGTCCAAACACCTCTGAGAATAGCATCCGTGGGGCGAGTGTCCGAGGGATTGGGTAACTCGAATGTGCTTGCCCCGAGGGAGGTAGAGTTTACCCCCTGGGGGGCGGGGCGCAGCAGCCCTGATGCGTGGAGACGCCGGCGAGCGCGCGCATTCTGACGCGCGTTCCTCGGGGTTGTGCCTGAGAAATGTCATGTTCGGCTGATCACCCCACGTGTGAGTGTGTGTGCCATGTGCATGGGCTGGGGCTCGTGATTGTCCATGTCGCCGGTCCTCTCCCTGGGCTCTCCCGTCGACGAAACCCGCCGCCGCCTCGCCCGTCGTCCCTTCGGCGGCGGGGCAGGGGAGGAGGCCCCGAAGACCGAACATGTGCTCACGCATGCCTCCTCCCGGTCCGTCATCCACCCTCTCTCTTGCCTTGACAGTGATGCCGGCGGAGGCAGAGTTCGTCGTGATCGGACGGGGAGAAAGACCCCAGGTGCCGTGTAGAGTGGTAGAGACCCATCGAAAATGGTGCCTTTATATTCCCCCCTCCCCCGCCCCCCCAAACGAGAGCCGGTGTTCGCTGTTGCTACACGCCTCAAACCGATTGGTGAGTGATTCCCCCGGCCCGGCCGACACCCGAGAGTGAGTCGGCCCCGCCGCATGCGCGCTGGGTCGCGTTGATTCTTGGGCCGCCCAGTTGGCCAGCCTGGCGGCGCACTTCCGCCGGGGCCCCGGTCTGTCCGTGTGGAGGGGAAGAACGCCTGCGGCGTCTTTCGGCGCCCAATTATTCGCTTGCCCGTGCGCACAAGCCCGAATGCCGGCCTTTGTTCCTGGTGGCAATGTCATGGACCTGTGGAACCCCCCCCCCCCCCGTGGCCCGGATGCACGAAGCGGGAGGGCCCCCCCCCCCCCCCCAGGGCACCCTCAGCGATACCGCGGCGAGTGCGCCTGTTTCGTGCCCCCCTGGGGACCCTTCCTCGCCGATCCCTCCGACCCGGCCTCACCACGGCGCCCCATCCGACCGAGCCCCGTGCGGGTGTGGAATGCACAGGGCGCATTCATTCTGCCAGCCCCGATCCCTGCCAATGGCCGCACCTCACAAGGGGCCGGGAGGGGTCCCCCTAGAGCTGGGCCTCGTCCTTTCCCCCTCGCGCCCCAGCCGCCCTGCTTCTTTGCCGGGGCCATGTTGCCCCTCAGCGCGGTTCGTCCTCTCGGCCTCTCTCTAGTCCTCTGTGTCATTGAGGCTGCGTCCTCCCTCCGTTTGTGCCTCCTGCCGGCAGGACGGGCTTGCCTGGAACGCGGCCACTATTTCGGCCACTATTTCGAGCCCGAGGCATCCTCTCGAACCGGCGCCCCGCCCCGCGGGCGGTGGGCATGGGGCTCTGTTGTTGTTGGATAGGGGGGGGGGGGCGCCGACCACCCAGTCTTCTGGGCGTCCCCGGCGCATCCAGCCGCCCCCGGGGGTGGGGGCGCGGCTGTGCCCGCGATCAGGGGGGGGTGGGGGGCGCGCGCCGGAGGTCATGCCAGCGTTGTTATTCTCTCTGGAAGCGTTCGGAGTCTGAGACGGCACGGCGGCTTGCCCGTTTGTAAGTGTCATGCTCACGTTTGCCGGAGGATGTGCCACGGCGCCAGGATACTCGGCAACGGGCGCTCTCTCATTCCCTCCCACCCCGCGCCCCTGGCCCCGCCCCTCGGGAGGGGGGCTGCCCTTTGCCGGGGTGCGGCTGTGGCCATGCTGTTTAGTGAGGGGGGGGGGGGGGCTCGACCTCGAGACTTCTTTTGGACCCCCCCCCCCCCCTTTCAGTGGTCAGAGTCAAGCTGCCATTCGTGGTTTGTGCTTGCCTGTGTGTCTCCCCAGGTGTAGCCGATCGCATCGGCGCGCCGAGGGCCCTGGAGTTCTTCGACACGCGCGAGGACACCAAGGGGGATAGCTCGACCAGGGGGGACAAAGCCACACGCCCGCGCTTGTTCTCGTACTTGTTGACACGAGCCATCGCACCGCGGAGGGGCGGGCGCCCGTCTCCGTGCGTGTGTCTGAGCGCTCCGGCAGGTGGGTGCTCTTGGCTCGGAATATTCGTCGTCCCTATTTCTCTGCCCATTTCAGGTGAAGGACCTCGCCGAGGGGGGGGGTGGGGGGTGTAAAGGCTGAGGAAGATTCCCCAGGCCCCGGCGTGCTCTCGGCTTCTCCGGCCGGGGGGGGGGGGCGGGCCCCCGTGAGCTTTCTCTGCCCCCCTCCTGCCCCCGCACTGTTGGGTATCGTCTGCAGTTTATAGCCGATAAAATAATCTCCCACCTCCACCGTCTCTCGGACCAGCGCGTTGTCTGCCTTGCTGCCCGTGTCCAGGTCTCTCTCTCTCTCTCTCTCTCTCTCTCTTGATCTCTCTTTGTCTCTTCCTCTGCGTGTGTGTGCGTCTCTTCGGCGAGGTGTTGAAGGGCGGGGCAAAAATAAACAAACGCCTCGGAGGCCAGTGGCTCGGCGCCCCGCACAAGACTGGGGCCGGACACCGACCGCCGGCTCCCCCCCCCCCCAGGGACCCAAGAAGGGGGCGGCCAGGCGCGTTCTGAGGGGGAGACCGAGGATGTCCGCCCCCCCCCCCCCCCGTGTCTTCCCCAAACATATGTACCCCATGCCGATCAGGCGGATGAGCCAGGGATTTGACTCTCCCGTTCTCTCTCTTTGTGGCGTACCCAGGGAACAGCTGTGGCGG